TTTTCTAAATAAATGTGTTCATCAGGAAATGGAACTAGCAAACAAAAATGAAACTTTTTTTTTATGAATATGCTGATTTCTATAGTTAATGCTCATAATGCAAATTTAGACACAAACGAACTCATTTATATGTAAATGCTTTCCAGTTGAAAATTGGAAAAAAATATCATCTGTCTGATATTCTAATGTCTTCATCTTTGCTTCGTTAAACTACATTGAGGGCCATGGAATAATGTTCAATTTCTATGTCCTTGAGTAAGCGATTTTCTTCCTCGAAGCAGATGTTTAAATATGAATTTCTAATTTCAATTAAACATGATAATGATGTCGACTTCACTGATAGATGGAGATAAAAACAGTTATAAAGCTCAAAAGTCAAATCAAACAAGTTTGGACAAACAAACAAAACATCAAAAACTACACAGGTTGGATCAGGGGACCATTTAAGCAATGAATCATTTTTTTTTAAGATTTAGCATCATAACAGTAACAGTGTGTGAAAACAAATTGAGTAACGCGCGTTAGCGCGTATTGACAATTTGTTTGCACACACCGTTGCACTTATGAGACTTTCTTTCAACAACAAAAATATCCTTATACAGGTGATAATACTATATTCATGCAAAACGAATTGAACTATAAAGTAACGGCATAAAGTTTATTTATTAAGGTACTAATAACGTTTTTTAGTAAAATATCCAAATCTGACATTTTCTTGAAGAGTAAAACTTTTGTTTCTTCAATATGAATTAGTCTGCATTGACCGCATAGTGTTCATAAAATAAAGAGAGCAAGATCAAAAATCCAAAGTCCACTCAAACTGTACAAATCAGGAGCAGAGCAGAGATGGACATCAAAAACATGAGCAATAGGATCAGGGCCTTGGAGGAGTAAGTATCCCCTGCCGACCGGTCACTATCGCCGTATGCTCCTTGTTATGATTACGAAATAAAGGAGAAAACGTCCAAATATACGAAAGCCCAGAAGGCTCATTCGAGATTCAAGATTCGAAATACGAGATTCGAAATTCGAGATTCAAAATTCGAGTTTCGAAATTCAAGATCCAAACTAACCAATCAAAAGCGAGTTCAACATTTGATTACTACCCTTTGTTATGTTTTTACTATCAAGAAATCGTTGAATATATTTATAACAAATGGGTCATTTGCTAAAATGATAATGCAAGAAAAAATGTTTTATGTATTAAAACGAAATAAAATTAAAATTTGGATTACATTTTGAAAAATACATACATAATCTTATTTTTCTAATTTAACAAAATAGTAAATACGTATGTATGGAATATTATATGGTCTTATCGTTGACTTGCGGAACAAGTAGGTCAACTAATTTTATTTCATTGCTGATGGAGAATGTTGCATTTGATTATAATTAGATACGAAATACTATGAGTCGTATCTACACTGCACAATAGTTTAATGATATATAGTTCATTACATTTATAAAGGGTACACTTGTGCAGTAAGACTTGACTGCTGAAGCGAACTGTAGCGTTATATAAGGTTTAATAAGAGTATATTTTAGTCTTTGGCCATAAAGCTATGGTCAGAGACTAAAATATAACACCATAACACTACATAGTTCTGCATCTAATTTAGACTCATCTACTATTTGATATAAGATAAAATAAATGCCGTATTTATTTTAATTCATATTGCCAAGTTGTATTGTAGATATAATTTTTAATTAATTCAAGAAATCAAAGCCTTAGATTAAGATAAGTAATTGAATACTTAATTTTTATGTATTTCCTCTATCAGGAAAACGAACGCGATTTTTGTTTATCAATACTACGTCGTCTTTCATGTTTCAAGCCTTTCAGTGTGTTTGGAAAAATAGGCAGGCGGGGTGGGTAGGGGTGGAGTTATTGTTAATCTTTAGACACTTGACACGTATTCATAACTTTATTTATATTTCATCAACCCCGTAAACAAAGTAGACAATACAAAATGAATATATATATATACTAAATATTCCTGATACATGTATTCTATTTAATATTTAAGAAGCCAAAATATAAATTGAAGTATATCTTGCTGATCAAAAATCCAATGATTATTTAAATTTCCTTCTAATATATATAACACACTTTCTTGCATTGTAATTTAATTAAATGGCCTATTTGTTATTTATATATTAAACGATTTCTTGATAGTAAAATCATAATAAAGGGGAGTAATCAAATCTTGAACCCGCTTTTGATTGGTTAATCTGGATATTGAATCTCGAAATTCGAATTTCGAATCTCGTATTTCGAACCTTGAATCTCGAATGAGCCTTTTGGGAGCTTTTGATTGGTTAATCTGGATCTTGAATCTCGAAATTCGAATTTCGAATCTCGAATTTCGAATCTCGTATTTCGAATCTTGAATCTCGAATGAGCCTTCTGGGCTTTCGTACAAATATCAGTGTATAAATGATGGCCTAACAATTAGCATAAAAAATGCTATCATTTGACTCAATGATAGATGGTATTTGCAGACAATCTCATCGTACCAACTATAAAACGAAATGATGACTTTAAAACGAGATTGCTAATATTCCTGTTTCATCAACATGTTTGTTAAAAACTTAGCACGTTTTAGAAATTGTTCATACTTAGAGCATGTTATTGCTTATCGAATCAACAATTAGTTTGTAAGTACGGTAGTTTGCTTCGTTCTTAGATATTGTGCGTACGAAGTCCATGCTGATTCGACTGGGAGACAAAAAAACCATGTAATGATAAGTACTGAATCTGAGTTTTTTCTACATTAGTAACAAAATTGACAATAGAAATCTAAAGAGAAAGATTAAAGAATCATTTACGAAATGAAGTATACGCCAACAAAATTCATATTCTCTTTTTGACATTTTTATTCAGCCCGACTGGCTTCATTCAACAATTTGCAAAGAGGATAAAGTTCAATTTATGACAAATTTATTTTATTTTGCTATTCACAGAAGAAATGTCTTGTATCTGAACAAATTATATCGTCGAAACCTCCAATAGGACACCAGGCATCTAGCTTCATGTCAAGTCCTACACAAGGAGAATCGCCATCTGGCTGACCGGGGCACCAGTTTTGAGTAATAGGAGAACCAGATTTCCAGCTATACGAGTTCACGCTTTCTTTTCGTGCATATGAGTGAATCCAGACTAAATTTTAAATAAATTAAGAAACTAATTATCTCCTGTGATACAAAATTTTTTACAGCAGACATTGTCCTAAAAAGGAACTTAAAGAACAATCTTAGGCTTTGTGATACTGTAAATACTTACAATAATGGTAAATTTTAGTGATTTCAAAACCAGGAACACCAATAGATTATTACAATAACTTACAGTATCCCATTATATTCGTCAATAAATTACAATATCCCATCATATCCATCAATAACTTACAATATCCCATCATATCCATTAAGTTTTTGACAAACTGGAGTTTTGCAGGTGTCTCCATGTTGATGAGAGTTTTAGACATTGATTGACAAGTTGTATTAGCGTCGTAATAGTTCAGAGCTGTTGGGTAAAGCCAGATGCACTGCTGAATTTCCGGGAACCATTCATCCAGCCCAGAAATGCAACCTAAAATCAATTTGTATTTAGGTTAAGTAAATATTTCTACTATTTAAATCCAATCTTAAACAACTTCGGATGAATCTATTAGTATTGTGTTGTTATCATTTGTATTAGAAAGAACATCAATAGCTAAAGGAATCGAATCAAATGTATACAAGGAATAGCACATACCGTATTATGGTCTATTTCTGAGAAAATCTAATATTTTTTCTATGCTAGCATTTCTAAATAGCAAACAATTAATTTGGTATAACACTGTCACTGGTTGGAAAAATTGTGATACACATAGAATGCTTATTATAATGCAATGTTCAACAAACATTGAGAGAATCCATGTTTACAACACCATAATTAGCGATTTACTTACGAAAAACCCATGTATATTTACATACTATTCAGTATTAAATTTATACTTTACAGCACTAACTTTATTCGTTAAAAATAATATTTTTGTTTGATTAATTTTTGGTTGATTGCTTTTTTTTCCTTTTTGGAGGACATGTGGTTAATTTTTCCCTGCAATCATTATAATTTTTCAACAAAAGGATAATAGTTATTCCAACGAATTTAAGTTATTTTAAAACTTCGTGTGCCTTTCCGTGAAAATTAATTCTGTTATCTAAAAAAGAGTTTTATGTTTACGATAATGTTCTCAATTTTTCTTATCTAGTAAAACAATCTTATTTTTTAGAAATCCCAAATTTCCTCATCTCTTTCCACACAAGTTTGTTGTATAGTTTTAATAGAAATAATATTTCGGGTATCTTGTAGCAATTATACATTTGTGTATCTTCATTTGTGGGCTTTATTCCCTTAAGATTAAGCTTGCCCTTACAACGTAAGAGTTCTGTGCTGAACAGAAAAAAGGAGATTCATACTGATGGATAACATTATCCCTCTTTTTCTAAATTAAGCATTTGCTAGCTGTATAGACACTGACTGGATAACATTTGAATTAAAGGACCATAGTTTACTCAAACTTAAAGCTAAATGAAACCTGCCTGTTTTTATTTTTCCTGGGTTTGGTTTGAGTTTTCTACGTACCTTGTGGCATTAATTGAAAGAATTTGTTCCCTATACCAGACCCAGCGGCCTTACAGTGTTCCTCCTGGTACAAGTGACAAACCTCAGTGGGGCCGTTATACCGGAATGTGTTACAGCTGGGTTTCTTTTGACACATGGCGGCACAGTATATAAGACTGGGGACATGTATCGTATCCGTAGCAAATTCAACAACATCTTGATTTGTCAAACGAGGAATAATGGACCAGGCATTCATGGCATTTGTATCTACAGGAGATAAACAAGGGAAAGTTTATAGGATAATATACATGTACTCCGCAAACATGTCCCGAATTCGCAGTTTTCTTTTAAAAGTTTTGTTGAATTTATAAAGGAATTTTTGCAGGAACTTAGAAATATAATTGATTAATACCAAGATCTATAAGAGAATAAAAGGCATCTTCCAGTTGCTCATTTCAGAAATAATATATAGAGAGATTAATTCGTCTAAAAGGTTGTTCAGGGGTACAATTGTAGGAAAACGCAATAGTAAATTATATTTCGAGTTTTTAAAAGCTGTCATGTTCATAGAAAAATTGAGGAAATCGAGCATATTTTTGGAATTTTTCTGTATCTGTAATGGAAAAACCATATCCAAAATCTATGGAAGTCATGGAGGGACATTCATTCACTTCTTAGTGGTGTTTTAGTTTAGTTCTTCAAACTTAATTATTACTTCTTATTTTAAATTTTCCATTCACTTTAACTTAACCAATATACGTGGCATACAAGATGGAGGTTTCGTGTTGTTTCAGATAAGAAAAGTACGGAAGCCCTGGAGGGACATTGGCTTACTTGTTATGACTTGTTTGTTTTGACTTATTTGTTACTTAATTGTTATGAATTATTTTTTGCTGGTTAAAACTAAGTGTAACGTAGCTATGTAGAACGTGTAACTTGGCTTCAACTGATATGCTTAGATCTAATTTAACTATGTTTTTTAATTGATTAAAGAGTAATATTTACATTCGCTGTATATATTTTTCTACTAAGCAAACTGTGAAATTGGTTTGAAAACCCGTGTATACTCACGCGTAGAAATATTCATGGAGAAACGTGCGCTAACGTGACGTCACAATTAGGCTACAGCGACGCTAGTAAAATGCAATGATATAGGACAGCGAGAAATTCATACATTGAGTATAATTTATTTTTTATGCCTTCAAACATTTAAAATGTAACTATAAGGAATGTTTTTAAGTTTTGTGTGATTCATCGGTGTGTAAATCACACAGACTTGCACATATGCATATTTTTCTCGAAGCGCACTATGCCTATGTGACAAGTCTAACACCAATGGATCACACAAAACTTTGAATTTTTTTACTAACGTCAAGATAAAATGTTAGTTATATTCATGTGTTCAATCATTATGCAAAGTGAAATATAAAATTTAAGCAATTACCATTAAAAAGAAGAAATAACAAGAATTAACAAATAAGAATTAAGTAATAAAATAACGTTACATATAGGATCTCACATGATTTGTATTTGGATATGATTTTTATCCAACGAGTTGTGTGGATTTTATAAAAACACACAACGAGTTGGATAAAAATCATATCTAACTACAAATCATGTGAGATTCTTTTTATCCCATGTTTTTACACACCAAACAATGTTTAGCACTGTTTTTATGTAGGACTCCACTTCGTTTTACTTCATCACTCTAACGCAAAATCCATTGTGACGTCACAACTATGTGATACGAAAACGATATCACATGAGCTATATCAACGGGATAAAGGGTAACATGGGATAAAAGATATTATCATATAAAAATTTAGAATTTAGTAGTCACGACTTCACTAGAAGTACAACAAATCAATTAAAAACTACAGTTAAAGTAGGACTTAACATTTCATTTTGATAATAAACGTAAGCAATGGTATGCTTAGTCCATATCTACTTTACAAGTAGTTGAAAGTCACAAGTAAGTCGGTGCCCCTCTAGCGCTTCCATGAATTCCGCACAATTTCCTAGAAAACCGTTAATCTAAACGGTTCTTTTAATGTTCTTCGCTTCTTTGGGATTAATAACACGATCATTTTTTTCCAGAAATCGCCATATTTCCTAATAAATGTATATTTAGATAGATAGACTGAATAATGTTTGCCAGATAAAGTTGCACTTGGAGAATTTTGTCAGAATTTGTCACAACGTAAAAAATCAGAGCAAAAAAAATATATATTGAAATACATAGAAAACAAAGTTGCACAAAAAGCACAAAGAAAACATACAATATCTTGATATTTTAGGGATTCATTACTTATTTCATGTTTATTCAAAATCAGTAAAAAAAATTATCTATCTATATCATTCTATTCATCAAAATTTTGTTTGTTTTATCTGTCTTTAAAATAATACATAATCAAATTGAATGCAGCTTTTATGCAACTTTCAAAGTGAAACATTCTATTTTGATTTTAAAATTTATATACTGTTAATCACTTTTTATTCGCGTAAACTCTATTTAAGCGTAATTATGCGAGAAGATGTGCTCGTGATAATTTTATTCTCGCATATATTAGTATTCCTTCAGATTATATAGAGCAGTTTTCGCGCTAATGAAGAGTATGGCTATCTTGCAAAAGTAAGGTATCACAAAAATAAAGTGATATATATACAGTCCACTATTCGAAACAAAATAAATGACGAGAATAAAATATTTTTGTCCCATTTAGTTACTAAAAAATGAATTCAAAAATTATTTTAAATTTACAGTTAGTGTTTACCTTTCAGATGTAGTGCCAGTATCAAAGGTAGAATACTCCAGATTTTTTCCTTCATTTCAAATTTAGAGTATGGTACGGTTTTCCTTCGAAATCAAAGCGGATGAATGATGAATAAAAATATTTTACAGACAAACAATGTAACAATGTCTGCGCAACTTTCTTTTGTTTTCTTTTTCGTATGAACAAATCAGACTTTAAAAAAAAGAAGATATAATTAATAAACGAACATCAATAATGTTTTGGCAGCATTTTCATTTTTTATTCAATTTGTTTCGATGAAAAGTCTTCTCAAAACATATAATCCTCAGTGTACACCTAAAAATCCATATCTAAATGAATAGTTACTAGAAAAGAATCAATGCCTTTCTCCTTTGATACTAATCAGTAATTAAAAAAGTATTGGGAAAAAAACAGCCGTG